ACACACACACACACACACACACACACACACACACACACACACACACATTCACGCTCCGCCTCAGCAAATGCTCAAGCCTCAGTACGGCACTGTACGAGTAACAGGAGTAATATTAGTGTTGCGGGAGACATCCAAGCATCCCTTTTCAGGCAGATCATTTTAATCTGATTGTTCCTGATTCTGCCTTTCACAAAAGGTTTCGTAAAAATGAGTCTTTTATCAGAACGAATGAATCCCATTTTCCTGGTCGCAGCTTGAATTGTAAATGTTTTGTGCAGCATATAAGGTGAGAGCTCAACAAGCCGGTGTGCTTTGCTCTTACGTGCCTTATGCTTCTTTCCACCTCCAGACAAAAGTTATTGATACTTTTAATGCGTGTAGCTGAGCTCAAGCTTTTTACTAAGTATTTTATGGGTTCAGTGAATAATGAAGAATTTATGCCGTCCGAGTGCGTGTTTATTTCATTTATGTGCCGCTGAATTAGAATGATCCTAAATTAACAATAAAACAGCAGGCTGCTGTGACGCCTGGGGGACTTCTTAACCCCTAATTAGAGCCCCTTCCCTGGGCTGAAATTCAAGCCCCCCCAGTGTCCCATCAGTCCCAGTGAGCTGTTCCCCCTACGTGTTGACTCATTTCCCTCACCAGCATGGCCATTTCCGACACACATGGAGGTCATGTTTTCTCCCTGAGGGCTCCTCACCCCACCTCTCTCTGGCTGCACAACACTCAGTCTTTGGTGGGACACAGTTCTGGCCGGTGCGGTGTTACACCCTTTGTCATCCTACTCTGCCTGTGTGTGTCCATGCATTTTGAGCAGATGCATTACTCTGTCTCTTGAAATCAAATAAGTGAAAATCAAATTCTGTGTGTGTTTTGTAGCAGGTATGTGAACAGAGATCCAGTCAGCATGTTGCGTGCCACGATGCTAACTTTGTTTCCTCTCCTGATTTGTGCTTGCCTGTTTCTCTGTCACTAATGCCGCCTCGTTGCTGTGACACTAATCAGGACTCTGCACTGGGACTCTGACCCGTCCACTCTTCAACTTCACTCTGATTCTGAGCTGGGGTACTGGACACTCTCTTCTCTCCTTTCCTGGTCATTTTCCTTTCTCTCAATCTATGGCATGATTACTTTGTCTGTTGAAGTCTTTGTTCAATTAATAAAGTCCAGGAAATCAGCCAAGCAATTTAACCATGAATGGTCAGTTTAAAGCTTTTAATTAATGAAGTGGTTGCTAAACTAATCTGAACTCTTTGCCTTTTCATGGAAGACTAATTACGTACTTTTGATCAGCTTAAGATCTCATCTGAAAGAGGTGAGAGTGGTAACAAAATAAAAATGGTTGTATTCGTATTTAATGTGCAATCATCCCTGTTTTGTGTTGATGTTGTGCAAAGTTTGAGTTTTTCTTTTTTCTTTTAGGAGGGCAACGCCAAAACTGGGCATGGCCAAAGTCACACAAGTGGACTTCCCACCACGTGAAACTGTCTCCTACACAAAAGAGACGCAGACACCTGTCCTGACCCAGTCCAAGCAAGGTGACTCACGACCACCCTGTGCCCACTCTGTGCCCCTTTGACAACATAGTGAAAAGTTCTGTCTGTTTCTGTGAATCAAACTATTTTTGTTAGATTTTTTTTTGGACCAAAAAAAGTTTGACTTAATTGCTTGAAGGGAAACATGCTAATTGAAAAATATTCACGACAGGGGAATTGTAGGACCCGGAAGTAAACGACAAGTGGATGACGTTTACCAAGCTGTGAGATGAAAGTGAAGTAGGGGAGGGGGGGTAAAGCCCAGGAAACATAAGAAGCCAGGGCAGAGATCAAATTCAGACAAGCTCTGCTTCCCTGCACCTCACAACCAAATCTGCCTCAGTATAATTAACCAGCAGGATGAAAAAACCAGTGACAGGAAGGAGAAATGCGATTGGAGCGGAAGATATGGAGCGCAGCGCGTTTGACTGCTTGCTGCCGCTGAAGCGTGTGGATACGTATGTAATTGCTGCGCTGAGGCTTTCATGTGGTGGGACAAAGGGAATATTTGGCTTTGTGCCGAATTCCACATGTTGAACACATGTTGCTTAAAATATGCACCATTTCCGGTCATGTTGCTCGTTCCCATTTGATTTCTCTAACGACAGCTGGAGAGTAGCGTGCTCGATTGAAATCCTGATTAGGATTCTTGTTTTTGAACTCCAGCTTTATCTGCAGGATGAGGGTCTTTTTTTTCCGATGTGAGCCGTTTTGCATCCTCCATCATCTTCGAATGCCAATTGGGATTTTAAGCGGCGTTACAGGGTTCTGATGGTTTGAAAGTTCTGATATGACACGAAGCACCAGTTTGTATTGATTCATTAGAAAATCTTTTTGTTCATTGTTACACTCAGAGCGAATGGAAAGCGTATCGCTGCTCCTTGTTGCTTTTTCCTCTGGACTCTGCCGGGCACAGTAAAAAGTGTGTTAAACAATGATAGTTTCTGCCAGCTGTTCAACACGCAGCCCCCCTCCCCTTCCCCCCTCTGCCACTATGTAATCATTTCATCAACTCCCTCGCTTCCCTGTCTTCTCCCTTCACCGAGCAGGCACATAACAAAACACACTCAGTGACATTGTGCATTTTCACACCATCACTTCTGGCTCTTGATGAGGCGGCATCCCCTACCCAGCCTGCTCTCCCCTCGCTGCATTTGTGATGTGTAGGGTGGCGTCGGGCCCCGCTTTCTGATTGAGCGATTTATCATGTTGTCAAAAGGAGGCACGGACGCAGCACTCTCAAGGTCAGCAGGCGGTGGCATTAGCAGGGGCGGCTGCCATGCTCCGGCTGCTGCAGGCCGAGGGCGCCAGCAACGCTGGCAGGACACCTCAGAGAGAGGGGCAGGAGATTTAAGATCACACCATCGGTCAAGAGGAAACCAACAGAGACGTCAAGGGAGACGCTTTGTGATTCTTTATGTGGAATTCTTATTCTGCTAAGAAATCGTAACTCCTGTTGGGATGTGGCAGCAAATGAGATGCCTGCTGCTGTCATAAAGAATAAACAGTCTGTGGTCACATGGTGCAGCCGCCATTGGCTCTTGTGGCAGATAACATTCATACAGTATAAATCCTTAAATAATTTCTCTACTAACTTCAAAGGCAGAGGATAAATGTACTAATTGGATTTAGTTGTTTTTTTCTGTCTAACGAGATTTATATGAAGTTAATTAGGATTTAAAAACCCAAAAGGTTTTATGTTTCAAATTTGAAAGCGTTAGCATCTCGCCTTGTCGTACAACGTACAAAATCCTTTATAGTGTTTCATCCTGCCCAGGTAGGTTTGAGGAATCACTGCTTTATGCCATTAGATGCTAGCTGGTAATATGCAGCATCAGCATGAGCTCCTCAGTAAGAGGCTGTAATCACGGCGTAAGATATGGTTAGATGTAGAGGGCTGCTGGTTGGTCTAGTACAGCATTTTGAAAAGGCTCGTCAGGGACACAAGTATGTTGAACAGTTTAGTAGATGTAACATTTAATTGAATGTGATTGTTTTAATCACTCTGAATTCAGAGGCAGGTCAAAACTTTATTCACAAAAGCCTTTAATGGCCTTCTTGTTTCAAGTGCCACTTGCAACTGTGGCCCGATTTGAATGCTTTTGATGAGCACTGTTAAATATCTGTACTATCTTTCTGTCACACAGTTGCTGATCACTTCCAGCAGATATTTCTATCTGTTCTATTTAAAAAAAAAAAAAAAAAGCATAAGATTAGCATAGAATTTGCAGCCTGAATGTGATTTGTTGTAGTTTTTTAAGTCTAAAATTTTACTGAGTTTTTATTTTTATTCTTATAACAGTTTCAGTTGTGTTAAACTAGTAAACAAAGCCTCGGACAATGTTTACTTTTAGTTTTAGCCCTTTATTTTTTCTTCAGAAGGAAAGAAACAGCTGCACACGTGCACCCGTCCTTTCTAAGCAGAGTTTTGTCCCTCTGCGAGTTCATTATTGGCATTAGTGCAGCTCAAACAAACCCGTGTGCACGTCCCGAAGTTAAACCCTGGCTCTGCCGGGGCGCATAGAAAAGAAGACACCTGCAACAGCCAGCAAAGGATGTTGTATAGGTCATCACTGGCCACATGCCATGTTTGCATTAATATGTTGTCTATTGACTTGGACTTGTGGTTACTTTGCCCACCCCTCTATGCTCCCGTCCCCCCCACCACCACCAAAAAAAGCTTTTATTTCTTAAGTGGTACAAAGGCCATAATTGGGCCTGCTTTGAGAGGTGTCAGTGTATGGGACATCGGTGATCCGGGTGAATTCTGTTAAATGCAACCACCCACCCTTGCTGCCACCACCCCCCTACACATCCCCAGCGGGGTCACCAGGATCACTAGCTTTTCTCCAAATGGCCATTTTGGCTGGCAGGTGCATTATACCCTTTATTTTCAGATTGTCTGTCCGCTCCTAATGCGTGGCAGGTTGATTGCTCTGGCTGCCTCACCAGGGAAAGGGTTGACGAGCACGGCTGGGACTAGCTGAAAGACAGTGATTACTGTTTTCCTTTTAGCCTGATTGAGGCCCTTGAAAGGAAAGATTTTAACCTTCTACTGTGGGGTGCAGAGTACGGCTGCACATTGAAATGGCTTGTGTCATCAACCCAGTTCTGTAAACTCATCAGTACACCCAGTAACCTTCGTCTCCCCCCCCCCCACGAAACTTCCATCTGAGAGAGGGGATAAATCATTTTGGACAAAGTGACAGATGACATTATCATTTAGATTATCTCAGTAGGGAGGAAATTTGGGCATGCAGTGAGTCAGTTTAAGATTAACTATAAGCCTCATCCATGATAAACACCAGGAGGAAGCAAGAGTGCTCCGCCGGTCCACACAAGTCTGTTTTGTCCTCCTTTTTTTACATGGCACACATAGGCTAAATACCATCTCTTGTAGATGTCTGAAAAAGCGTGTTCATCCTCTTTGAGGTAAAAACCGGTGTGCAGTTTGCCAGCTGGTGTGGCCTGTATTTTGTTGTACATTCTCTGGGGTTGAATAGGAGTCGCAGGACCTCCTGCTAGGTCGATAATTGCCCAGGCTTGCCGCTCAGGGAGAGGCTTGTCTCGGGGCGGCCAGGCGGAAAACCTCTGTGCCATCCCCATGCCACCTCTGAAGAGCACAAGACAATCCCAGCATCACCATCTGCTTTTGCACCATGCCGTCATCTGGCCAGACCAATAGGATGGGCCTGTGCAGCTGCTCCACACCCTCTGCCCCCTTGGCCTAGACGGGGGTGACCTGCAACTGGGACACTGAGGAAACAGCTACACTGACAGCTAGACTCACCATTGAATGGCTGCTCTCATTAACAGTGGGGACAGACAGGGGTCCCTATGACAACAAGGCACCCGCTGCGCTGTGTCCCTTTAATACAAATGACAAACTTCCCGGCTTTAGAGGAGCAGGTTCTTTTTTCTTTTCTTTTTTTTTTTTTTTGAAAGGCAACATAGTGCTGACAAACCAAACAAAATGCAAGGCAGAGATACAAAATCATTCTATAGCTGTGCCCATTGTCGCTGGGCGGAGCTTTTATTGAAAGAAGTAGATAATGGAGGCGGCAAATGCAGTGGCCACGAGGTTCAAAAGATGGGAAGGGAAGCACAATCCTTCTTTGAAAAAAAGTTTTCATTTCTGGATTTGGAAATCTGACAAAACGAGTCATTAAAAACAAACAGTTTTACAAGTGATTGTGTTTATTCATATTTATTTTATAAGTTTGTCACTATTCCTTCTGGTGTTTATTTAAAATTACCTTTTTGATCAACAGAGGAGGAAGAAGAAGAAGAGATTGCTCCACCTCAACCAGTAGTGGAGACCCAGACTGAGAAACTGGACCAGAAGGAGGAGGAGGAAGGTACTTCATTACCAGTGATGATAATTGAAACTACTGAAATTGAGCCACTTAAGTTCTTCATGGGATTTCTCAGCACATCTCATAGTTGCTAGATTCCAAATGAGTTTTTATCTCTTTGACCCGGTTCATTAGACACTCTTTGTCAAAGTGATCATGAGCAGCAGGGATCTTTGTGTTTTCTCCGTCAAGCCCCCCCCCACGAGCTGACGGAGGAGGAAAAACTCCAAATCCTGCACTCGGAGGACTTTGCCAATTTCTTCGACCACAGCACTCGCATTATTGAGCGAGCTTTGTCCGAGCACGTGGACCTCTTCTTTGACTACAGTGGCCGGGACCTGGAGGAGAAGGAGGGGTAAAGATAATCCATGGTTTTAAACATATAGAAATATATATATTTTTTTCCCTTTGTTTTTCCTTTGTTTAAGCGATATTCTTCATTGATTTGTGTTGCTGTGTTTTTATTTTCTCCCCCCCAGTGAAATTCAGGCTGGAGCAAAGCTGTCCCTCAACAGGCAGTTCATGGACGAACGCTGGTCCAAACACCGTGTTGTCACCTGCCTGGACTGGTCCCCCCAGGTCATTGTTGCGGACATTTCTTTCCCTAAGAAAGCCAACGTTTGAGCAAAGCATCACAAATTAAGCGTTTGAAGCTTATTTCCCCACTCCCCCCCCCAGCTAAAAGAATGCCAACCATAAATGCCTATAATTGGATTTTGAAACAGCAGGATTTTCTCGGCCTTAATGCTTCATGAATTTGCTACTTGAGTTTGACAGCATTTACTTTGAGCCTAAACTCCCTCAGGAAAAGTAAGTTGTGTCCCATACAAATTGTCACTTATTCGTGGGCCATAATGATTTGTTTCCTCTGGTGTCTAAGGTCATTTAATGCCTGAATCTGCAACAGCTTCTGACAGTGATTGAACACCAACCCTTTGTTCACTGTATTTTCTTGCTCTGAGCGACATTAACACCCCTGTGGTTCCTAATGAGTCCTGAGCAGGATCCAGGTCTCAGATTGAAGCGTCTGATGCAGCAGAGTTTCACTATTTATTTGCGTTGTATTTATTTGATGTGTTGTAGTCGTAATGTGGGATTATTTTACAAGTAAAGACCCTCAGTGAGCTCCCAAATCTGCTTTTCTGTTCTTCTGAGCCCCTATAGCCCTGTAGCATATAGTTAGAATGATGAAAAGGAATGAAAATATAATTAACCAAAGTTCTCAGAAGGGCAAGGGGATTAAATGAGCCGTAAATCGTGACGGGAAGGCTTGCTCATACTTGAAGGCATTCGGCAGCAACACACAGGGCAGGGGAGGCTTTTCCAGCTAAGCCTGGGAGGCATGCCCTCCTCCCCCTGACGTTCATCCTGTCTGATTTAGTTTTTCCCCTTCTCTTTCATCAGTATCCTGAGCTCTTTGTTGCCTCATACAACAACAACGAGGATGCTCCACACGAACCAGACGGCGTGGCTTTAGTGTGGAACATGAAGTACAAGAAAGCTACACCAGAGTACGTCTTCCACTGCCAGGTACAGACAGCATCATGTTTTGTTTTTACCCCCCCCCCCCCCCCCCCCCCACTGAGCTGGACGAGCATGGAACTCTGCCAGCCATCGCCGTCGCTCGCCCTCCCGCCACCTCCTCTGCTCCCCCCCCCCC